ATTATTCCTTTCTCACATCCATCTCGATAGCAATGAAAAGTTTGAACTTTTCAATATGGGCGAAATGTAATCTTTAGTTTGATCTGATTTAGGATGTACTTTGGAGTCGAACTAGAAGCGGCAGATGGGCAGAAAATTAAAAAAGATTACTTTACCGGGCTACATGAGTTAATCATGTGGCCTTTCAACATGAAAGACAGGTTCCCAAGGGAGGATGGTACATTGAACTTCCCTAGGCAAATTAGCAGAAAAGTAAGGGGTAAATTAGATGGAACGAGGCCATATCTTACCGTGTCAGACACCATCATTCCAACCACCTCATCACCAAGGGAATCGACAAAGCTCTCATTGGCACAGTGTGTTAGGAGGACACTGAATGGTCTAGCACTGGCAACGTTTTTAAGATGATGCGAGATGTTGGGATTCGTCCGCAAGAGATATGATGGAAATTCTGCACCCTGTCTAAGTTGGTGTTCCACAAACACCTCTAACGCGTCATCAAGCACCGCTGGTCCTGCAGGGTAGCGGTGCGTAGCATAACGACAAACTTCTGTCTGCACCAGTCCTCCGGACAAGAATATCCCGGTGCAGACCAACATCAATAGACTTGACAGTAGAAAAGTGAAGACGACTCCTCTTAAGTGATAAGAAAATAAGAGTTGCATAGCGATGCAATACCGGTTGAAGCAAGATCAAGCCAATATTAGCACGTACGACAAGAGTAGGTTAGCACCAACTCCGCGATTGCAGAAACTGGCCTCCTCGTGTGGACGATCTCCACACACGCCGAAGGAGAGTCCAAGATAGAATAGGAGGATGATAAAAGCGGGGAGACAGAGAAAAGCGAATCCACTGTAGAGGATGTATTCATTTCCGACTCTAGAAAAGGTGAATTTCAAAAAGTGAAAATCTTAGGGTCACTTATTGGATGCTTTCAATAATGTGGAGTTTCAAGTTTCTTTTTTTGGTATTCTTTAAAAAAAACCGTTCTCAAAAAATTACGATTTCTCTAGTGGTGATGAGCCCCTAAGGTCAAACTCTTAGCTTTTTAAAGCAATGCACGGGGACCCGCCGAGGGACCCGAGGGAAGTCGCGAACCTGCACTGTCTTGTATGCAGCACGAATTGTCCCATCTTTAGACGGCTTGGAGCCTCAACCATCCTTAAAGTATAAACTTAACACTACTTCATTGATTAAAAACGACGAGACCTTGCAGAGTAAGGGTAAACGAAATGTCAAGAC